GCGTTTCGCTCGCTCTACTATCCCTGAGGAAAAATGGGGACTACTCGTAGTCTACCTTTCCGTCAACAGAACAATGTTTTTTTGTCAGTCGTAACACGCAAATGCGTGAGGGCCTCTCGCGTTTTCGTGCTTTGCGTTCATCCGGCCATTCATCGTGCGATATTTTTTGTTTCGATTAGTTGCAAGTGTACAAAGTGAATACGTGAATAGTAAACAATTCATTGGTAGAAAATGAAGACAGATTCTTGAGTTAGTTAACAATGCACTCAGGCCACCGTACCCTAATCAGACAGAACGCCTCACGAAATAAACTGAAGCGAGAAGTATAGCGTGACCTGCTTGTCAAAACAATGACGTAGGAGATAAAAGCGTCCGCTGATTAGTAACAGATGATACATAATTAAAATTAATACATTCCCAAAAGACACACGATTTCAAGAACAACCAGACGACTCTGAAGAACAACAAAGCTAAACTACAAACGGGATTCTTTGAAGTTAAAACGTAGTTGTAAAGTTAAATGAAGTTCACTAAGAATCTAAAGAGAATCGACAGACGACACTTATGATATTTTGTGTGAGAAACGAAAGCGGGTCAGCATGACAGAATGTCCTGATCAGAGAAATACAGTTTACTTCCGCCATTGATTTGTTGAAAGCTGTAACTGTGGTCATCCTTGGATTTCTGATGCGAAGGAAAAAAATGATGTACTTTATCAGGCCAAGAAATTACCCAACATGGCAAGGAATTGCAGGGCATTTTACCATTACAGCTGGTAAACTCGGTGAGAAACCGACTTGTGTGCATCTGCTTCGTCACAAAACCTACTAAACCTATTGAGTGGAACTTGTGTCTGTCCATTTTGAAGTTGCATTGGATTAAACGTGCTACTGGCGTGAGTAGGTTAAGCACAATATGTAGCAATGCGAAAATAGTCTATATCCAGAATATATGGACTGATCTTTGGAGTTTTCAGGCACATTAAACGGTCCATCCATAAGGAATAACCACAGCTGTGCTTGAAATTCATGTAAACAAAGCACGGGCAAGGTAGCCTTAATTCCAATCTTATACAGACTTAAACTTTTCGCTTTAATTTAGATCTCATTCAGTACAGCTAAAATCAGTTATCCTGAGCCGGACATCATTCTTAGCAGCAGAGATGTATTTTTTTTTTTACTTAACTTCAGTAGGATCTCTTACAATTATATATATATATATATATATATATATATATATATTTAACAATTATTCTTTGAAATCGAGGTGAATAGTGGCAAAATATTTACCGAGCCGCGAAAGCGGCGAGGTAAATATTCCCAAAGCCACTATTCACCGAGATTGAGAAGAATAATTGTTTTAGTATATACACACGAAGTGATCTCAACAAAATCAGAAAGGAAACCATTCAAAAGTAGGATTTGATTGACAGATCAAATCACGCGTAAGTTTAAAAATAGATCTTTGCAGAATTTTCAAACATGGCAATTCACAAGTTTACTCATTTCGCAAACAACAGCGTAATGGCTTCAATGGAATCGCTAAAAGTTTGAACTGTTTCCTTACCTGAGAAAAAAAGTAGAGCTGTGTTGTTTTCTGTTGACTCGCCAAGTTTATAGCCAAAAGGGCATGTTGTGTCGTTCTTCGCATGAAGTGCTGACAAAAATGGCGGCTCGGTTGCTCGAGGTAAGAGGTCGTCTTCCTGTATCATTCTTTTTCCTGTTTACTTGAAATGTAGAATTTCTGCAAACATTTCCTTTTAAATTTGTTTGTCATAAATAAACTTCGATTTTTGAGCCAAAATTTTCTTCTTAGAAAACGCTGAGTTCACGAAACGGCTTCTTCTACGCGAATACACGGGAGTTGTAAACAATCCATCGAGCACAAAACTCCTGCTACAGTAAATTGAAAAACGCCGTATTGAATCCTTCCAAGTCTTTTCTTGCCTTAAAAAAAGTCAGCCCTAGGATTTTGTCGCCTTTTAAAAGATCGTTCTCTTAAAAAAACGGGAAAAACACCGAGCTCACACATTATCCACTCGCTAGGAGGTGAATATTGTTGAATAGTCCGAGATAGCGAACCAATCAGATTGCTTAAATCACCAAGATCACTGAGTGTGTATATACTAAATATATATATACTAAGCATTTTAGTTGTCTTCACTCTGTTCCATTGTCGTGTTTGAACTTGGTTTTGCTATTTCGTATTATTAACTAAGTACAAATGTCTTGTTGGTAACTATCAAGTTTGTAAATACATATGAAAAAGCTATTAACTTTAAAATATCATGGTGAGGCGAACTAACCTTTACTACTTAGTAATAGCAAGGAAAAATTTTCAAGGCAGATTTACAGATGTTATAGTCGGCTTATTTTTTTCCGATTCTTTAATTCTGATTAAGTCAAAATCGTCTCATTTTAATTTACAAACGCGTTTTTTGCCCTGCCGTTCATGGATTACTAGCTTTTTCCCCATTTTGTTAAAACTTTGTTTTATGAACTTAGTGTTTCTGCTCGATACATGGCTTGCTTGTTCCATCTTGTTCTTTTTGTGGTAAAGTCACGCACGTAAACACTTTGTACAGCTCATTTTAGTGAATACCGTGATTCTTATATTGATATGCTCGTAAATAGCAGTCTACTACGTTGTCATGACACATATCTTTGTAATGTAGAATTATACTAAGCTAGCGAATTCTTATTTTATCACTATGTTAAGCGATTCCTCGATTTCTTGCTATCATTTTGCTTCCTCCAGAGTATGGCAGAAGTCGACGAGATGTCGCGCGTGCAAGGCCGTTTTTAGGCCCTTATTACACTGTTCAAAGTAGACAGACTGCAAATTATCTTACTTATATATTGTTAAAGAAAAATATCGCGCGTGCACCTGTCATACTCCGCTGACTAGCCTCCATAACCAGCCAAAACCTATGCAACCGAATATTTTGCTGTTGATTGCTTTTGCTGAAGTAAACGCTAGATGTTCATGTTCCTTAGTGGGAGATATTAAAAATAAACAGTAAACCTTAAAAATTCAATTGATAAACCGATTTACTTCCTCACAAACGTTGTATAACGCTAAAATGATGCTGTTTCCATGGACGTCCGCATGTCAGAATTTCTGAGGACAAATCAACAAGATCTCAACTGATAAGCGCGAATGCAAAAGTTTTTCGGTATATAATCGGTCTTTCCCTGCATCTCTGTAGAGGCAGTTAAACCTAATTGCTTACAAAAGGGTTATGATGAGTTTACACTGATGGTCTCACTTCACTCCTCGCTCGCCAGAGTACGATGTGCGTCAGGAAGAAATCGAAACAACTTTTTTACGGTGTCAAGTCTTCTAGCAGCTCTCCAGGAGCTCCAGGTTATATAGTAGCTGATTTTACACCAGGCCTTAGTTGTTCAAAAGGTGGATAGCGCTATCCACGGGATAAATCTCTATCCACTGGATAGCGCAATTGGTTTGCCTAATACTTATCCGAGGGATAGTGATATATCTGGTGGATAGCGCTATTCAGCTTTTGAACAACTGGGGCCAGACCAAAATAAACATTTAAAAAAAAAATGACCGAGCTTCAAGTTACTTAGGTTTTGTAGGACTCTCGTTACTTTTATTTCCCAGCAATATGCATGCACTACCCGATCTCACAACATTTTTGCCTTGCCCCTCTTGTCACATTTCTCTCTATATTCGACCAGTCTCTGAGACTCAGAGGATAGAGTGCTTGCTCTGCGTATAGAAGAAATTGTTGCATTCTTATTAAATATCGTAAATAATTTTGATTTTGTTAAAAAATTAACAGCCCTAACGCAGTCGAATTTTTAAGCAACGCTTCTTCTTCTTCCATTGCATGTGAAGTTATACTTCACTCCCCGCTCGCCAGGTACGATGTAAATAAGTAAATAAACATTAAAAAGAAAAACATGCTGATTCGGTTTCAAGTTTCTTAAGTTTTGTAGGATTCTTGGTACTTTTATTTCCCAGCAACATGCATCACAACCCGATCTCACAACATTTTTGCCTTGTCCCTCTTGTCACATTTTATCACCATATTATAAGCTTTAGGGGCACCTCCTAAATACATTCGAAACACTTTTTAGGAAAGTCGTAGGGACTTCGAAAATTATACATTAAAAAAACGCTCATCCAGAAATTTTTAGCCGTCCTCAAGTAATCAGCGTGCAAAGAAACTGATGTCCGATAGCCTGGGGCTAGAGGATTTTTATATCGGGCTAGTGACTGTTGTTCTTAGCTTGCCCGATGGGCAAGTGAATTTTTTGAGAATTCAAATTACAGAAGGACTGTGTATTCAAACCTACTCATCAGAAAGCTTCTAGGGCTAGTTAAAGTGACGTTTGGGCTAGTACATGCTAGCTACAGCTAGCCCGAATGGCAAGCTGTAAAACTGACTTTCTTTGCACCCTGAGTAATAGAAATTACTTCTCCGAACAGAAAAATCCAGGTGGGGGCTGGCAGCGAGGTCTGGAACCGAGTTTATATGATCGCCCCAGTTAAGAAATTGGGCCGAGTGAGACTGAGTACCATTTACCGTCAAAACAAATATGGCGGAGAATGCAGACGTGGAGGGACGATGAGTTTTTGCTCGGTTTTGAGTTTTCCCGCGTCCAAACATTAAGAAGAGGTTTTCAAGAACATTTTTAATGAAATTTTTGGACATCAGGGGGCGTGATGTATGAACAGTTCATGGATGACTACACTTAGCGTGATTCGGCATCACTCAGAACCTTTTTCAAACTCGTGCTTGCATAATTAGGGCGCGAAAAGCAAGACATCTTGACGTCACAACCATGTTTACATACTCTCATGCAAACATGCTTCTCGGGCCAATCAGAGCGCGCTTACTATCTTAGTTATTTTTATACTGAAGTGTGATCAACTTGTACGCTTCTTCGACAATATTAAAATTAATACCTGGAGTCTTTTCCCTTTCGTTTCAGGGGAATTGGTTCAGTGTTCATCTTATCCTTTCCACAACATTCAGTACAAGGACAGCACTGACCATCACTTGTCCCTTGAAGAGAGCCAGTAACAGCATGTGATTGCGCCATGGGTGGAACCTGTTTACAGGCATGCACCTCATGCTTGCTGGGTGTCCCTTTTTTATCCACTACTGGCCTCGTAGTTGGTCTTTGGGTGGACTCTTCAGCTTTCTTGAGCTTTTCGTCACTGTTCGTTGCTTTCAAAGGGCACTTGTTTGATAGGCCATTTTCACTCATGGTTGTCCCTAGAGGGTGCACATCATTAAAAGTTTCCTCATCCGTACAGGGCATACAGGAGACAGCTGAGTAGGTCCCTTGAACAGAGCAGGTAACAGCATGTGATTGTGCCATGGATGGAACCTGTTTACAGACATAAACAGCATAAACTAAACAACAACATTGGATCAGTTATCAGTTAACCGAAGTCTAACTTTGGTCGCGGTTTGTGGTGAGTGTGTTATTTTAAGAAGATAAATGTTTCTCCAGTCTGGCCTGTTGCTTTCACGAAACTGTTTACAGTAACCGGCGTTTAGATAAAAGTGTTGAGCAAACTGAAAATGGCTGGCTGGCTACTCAGTTTAAATAACGGGCCCATTGTTGATGAGTTTCTGTTTGCTGCGAATGACTTGGCATATGCATATTTTCTCTTTCAGCCTCAATCATCTAATAACCCACCCCTTGTCTTGGCCTCTTCAGTCCTCTAGGTCTGCCTTATATGTTGCACTTAATAGAAATGTAACATAATTATTACATTTTACTCCGGGTTTGTAAGAGATCCCATGACGGTTTGATCGGTCAAGTTCATATACAGTAAGAAAAGGCGAATCGCGCTATTAGCTGAAAAATGTAACCGCAATCAGGACCACAAATAACTGCTCTGCTCCCTGTGGAAAAATCTTCACAAAAACTTAGCTTTGTATTGTATTTGTATTTTATTTTTTACTCCATCCTATAATACATTAGTTGTACAATAATACAATAGTTGTACAATATTAATAATACATTAGTTGTACAATATCAATGGGTACAAAGTTGCTTAAACTACATGTATATAATAATGATAATAAAAGAAGAAAATTACAATGGAGAAGGGCACATTATAGTAAAACTAATCATGGCCCTTTAACAAGATTGACTTTATTCTTTTGTAGTTTTGTTATTCATTAAAACATAAAACACGCACGCACGCACACACACACGCACACAAGTCAATATTGAGCGAGATAATATTTTTTAAGTGCCTTTTTGAACAGCATTTTCGATGATTTATTATTTATTATTATTATTATTATTTATTATTTATTAGCTTTCAAGTTAGCAACCTTAATCCCTCAAGGAATAAATAAACGCTTTTCATTTAACTGATTTAGTTCTGTTTGTTACGTTACCGTGTCCGCGGATTCTGGCATTTCAATGTTAACAGTCTCGTCAATCGTGAGTACCTTTACCATTGTGGAAGAAGAAAACTGCGACATTGTAGAGCTGGGTTCAACTGAGAGACAAAAATAGTAGAAACAGTTATCAACGATAAAACAAAACAAATAACGCAAAGGTTATTAGGGCTGAGCAAAAACATTGGGAGAAATATTGGTATTGTAATTCTAAATGGCTATCAGTATACTGAATAGCATGATTTGTAGTGATATTTGGCATAAATACCACAATTGATACACGTAATTTCACGAGCCGTTAGGGCGAGTGAAATTTGAGACAATTTCGAAATATAACGAGTGGTATAATTTATGCCAAATATCACGTACAAATCATGCTATTATTTGTTTATACTACTACACGCAAAGGTTTTGTAATTTTGACATGTAGGTATTTCAAATTAAGCTGAAATACAACTGCCCTAAGCCAATCAAATTGCAGAAATTTCTCACGTAGTAGCTCTGACCGCCATAAAGTTCCAACACCCAGGGTAAAAGGTCATATTATTCCGAAGTTAACCTTCCCTACGAATTTCAACACAAGAATTACCTTCACTCAGGGGCACCCAACGAGGATATAGTTCAAAACCACTTAAAATAGCATTGTTGAATGTATTTTAGTATTCAAACGGTAGATATAGGCATATGTTTATCCCCTAAAAACTTTTCCTCTGTTCGGATTTCCTAGCTGAAAGTCTAGTGATCCGAAAATTATAGGGATCAAAACTTACCTTCTCGAAAACTTCAGCCAGGAAAAGGCTCCCGAAAATTCTAGGTGGCCTTTTTTAGGGTCAAAATCCGTTAAAAATGGGTAATTATACAATTTTGTCGATGTTCGAAAATCCTAGGAGAGGCAGGCAAGCAAGAAATTTTACAACAAATGCTCCGAAAATTCTAGATCTCAAATCGTCTTCCGAACAGATATTTTCCCGAAAATTGCCGTTGGGTGTCCCTGTTCACTTTCCACAGATGACAGCACGTCTTGGTCATGGTTGCATTCCAACCACTTCCGCACACGCTCCATTTGTAAACGCCTCACGCTCTTATCTTTGTTAAGCTGTTGATAACCAGAAGTTTCCACCTCACGGAAGAACTTTGTGCGTCAAGTAAACACCAATGTTATAAAGCTGGATGCAAAAAATCAATGTTGCTAGACCATAATCCTTGAGGTCCAAACAACTTTTTCCATACAATTGGCTTTCTGAATATATATTTTTTCTCATTCTCTTTATATCATATTTGGTATCGTTTTTAAAATTGTGTCCCACAATGTTTTTGTTATACCAAAGGTCACTTTACTGATAGCTGTAAAGGCCAGGGCTGTCATTAAAATTTAAAGTTGCCAGGCTGCCTATTATGAAAATCCCTGGCCCCCGGCCCTGAAAGGCAATCTATTTATCTAATATACCTTGTAATATAGGAGATCCTCTGGGGCATTTCCATGCAGCCTTGTTTTCTGACATGTTTGTCCACATGATAACATGATCAGAGGATCCGCAAGAGGAGGTTTCAGCATCAGCAAAGTAATCACTTGTGTCATCAGTGTCACTGGGCTGCTCCAGTCCTTTGGTTGACTCATCTTGAGCTGCAGTGGAAGACATTGTTAAATATCAAACATTGAATCGACCAAATAACATAATAGAAGGGTAAACTATGGTTGCCCTTTTCCTATTGGGCAGATCAACTATGCAGTTACAGCATACACAGCGCATACATGTACCAACAGAATATACAAAAAGATTGACCATTAAAAGTATACAAGTTGCAGGATAATTAAGTCTGCTTGATCTCAGGTTAAACAAGCCTTCAACCCGCATTATGGTTATAACTTTTCCTCTTATCTTAATCCTAGTATTTAAATCTAGGATGAATACTGACATGAAATCTGAAATATGCAAGGAGCTGCTGGAAATACATACATGTACAATCACAATTTCATCTTATCATTTAAATGTAACAGTTATCGTAACATAAATGTATGGTAGGGAACCTCAATCAAAAGTTGTCATTTTCAGAACTGGCTCCCTGTCACAGTAGTTTTCAATTCCAGCATAACAAAAACGGTGCATTTTCACTTACAAGACTGTTTCTGGACTGCTTTCACCAGTTCTAACCAGTCAATTGCACAGGACTGAACATCTTCAAAAGTTTCTTTAGATAATCTGTAGGTATAGTAGAAGATAAAGTTGTTCTAAACGTAGTTCATAGACAATGGCCATTTCTAATTTGTTACAAAAATATACCAGCTGTCATGACCAATGAACAAAACAGATTTTGAAATTCACACTAACTTGTAATGTGTCCCCTTTCAATTACCAATTGGTTCATGTACCAGTGTCATACATCAAGATTTGTACAACACAGAGGTTCGGAGAGTAAGCATGATAATAGTTAATCCTGGACTACATAAGCTGAAAGCAATATTATTATTTTAAGATCATACCTTGTTACTAAAAGGTTTTTTGTCTGGGTGAAGACATTTCGTACACAAATTTCAAAACTCAGAACAACAATTTAAAAACAAAATCGAATATGTCGTTTGAATCACTCAACCTACATCAGTGACATAAAATGTCAGGTGATGTAACAGAAAGGTTGTTTTGTATTCCCAAAAGAGGATTGTAAATGGCCAAGAGGTCAGGTCCCTCGATCTCTGGACTTGAATATCAAGTTCACATCTGAAGTTCTAAAGGATGGTAAGATATCTTCCTTGGACACCTCTGTTTATCTAGAGGATGACTGCAAAACCAGTATCAAGACAGTTTACAGAAAATCGACCAACAAAGACCAATATTTACATTTTGCCTATGGAAACACCCCCTCGAACATAGACTACGAGTAGTCCCTATCTCGCTCACTCTACTTTCCCTGAGGAAAAATGGGAACTACTAGTAGGCTACCTCAAACACAAACTTTCTGTGATTCACACCTTGATGC